TAAATTAAATCGTTTCGGGCTGATGACGCGGCGGCGCAACTCGCGGCGGATGGCAACCCATGGCGGAGGAGAGAGACGCTCTGCAACGTCGACGTCTTCCGGTTCCGAGAGAGGAACTCGCTAACGAGCGGGCAGGAGACAGCTTAGAGAAACGTTCCGCAGGAACGAAAACGACGGCGGACAGGAGCGGAAACAATTAAATGCTCGTGCCCGAGTGGTCGCATTGTTCCGCTCGTGCAGCGGAGTACGCGATTCCGTGCCGTCTCTCCTCCTTCTCCTCCGTAGTATTGAGTTGGACTCATACACGAGATACACTGTTGACTCGGGGGTCCTGCTTTTATTGGACCGATGCGCGAATCCGAGCGCGGCTTTTGCGCGAGAGAGGGTCCCGCCCGCCTCGTTGCACGCGCGAGACTAATTTGTCCATTGCGTCGCGTGAGAACCTCGTTCGAGAACACGATTTAATCCTTTCGATGCTGCTCTTGCGATGTCAGTTAAAAATATATATATATATATATCTGAGAGCGCCTTACTTCTACAGTCCGTCTAATTGTTACGATAACAATATGAAATATAAAGTAAAGTATAACAACAATGTATCGCGCACTTCTAACTGGTTTATACACACAGCGATCTAATGCAGCGAGATTTTTATCTGAGTTTTTCGAAGGGTGATCACGGACCTTGACGAATGCTGTTGATCGCATCAAGATTTCCGTATTGCAAGCGCCACGTGCCAACTAAACTTGGATCAATTGTTGCTGATGTCCAAATAATCAGCAGCTGATGTTGTTTACTCGTCTCTCGCATAAAGCGCGACGTGAAATAAACAAAACGTGTGTTGTGATTGCGCGTTACTCAAAACAAAAAAAAAAAAAAAAGAATCCGATTGTTCAACAATATAATTGTTCGCGCGGTTACAGCTTCAACGCCGTAACTAATATTTGCAACATAGAATGTCGTGTCTTCGAAATTTGCACTTGGAATCTCAATACGTCTCAATCCGCTATTACACGCGATCGAGCCCTCAAATCCGGCAGACTCTGTGCGCAACTCGTAATCTGCTCTATTCCACACTGCGAAACGTGGCTTCGTACGCGATACCAGTAATACACCAATCCGCGTAATGCGGATCGACGGTACAATGGTTCTCAAATTTCTTTTCTTCGACGAAACGATATAAAACGTTTATCGACAACACGACGTACGTAAACGTGTAATTCGCGAATGTGTGTTGAAGAAAAAAAAAATTTCGAGAAATATTTTTTCTACGAAATATATATTTTTTCGTATTTTTTTGTTGTTGTATATTTTATACACATCGAACGTATCGAAATAAAATTTGTCAGACAATTATTGTCGAAACGTTCTCGAGTTTTTTTTTTTTTTTGTAGAATTATCGTTTATACATTGGAGTAAAAATTGCGGTTGTTTTTTCTTTTTTTGAGAATCACTGATATACACGCATACGAGTTCACGTGATCCCATCCGCGTCTGCACACCGCGCGTGAAAAGGAAGACCCTGTCTGCGGCGTCGGTTTGCGTCGCGGCGCCGCCGATCGCGCAGTGAGGATATCTCGGGGGATGAATAGGCCACGGCGAGGATCAACGTCCTCGGAGAATTCGTCGAATCGGTGGTGACGGCCGCGTCGACGGATATTTCTCGATCCCCTTGATCTTCTAATAAGAAGTCGCGATATGTGGTTCCTCTACCCCTCGGCGTGCGGAGGGGGGATGATTAGCCGCCGGAGTTGGTTTTACGCGGAGTGAGAGAGAGAGAGAGCGCACCGATGCGGCTTCGCAATGCGCTGTCGCGCGCTCCGAAAAAATAGAACGAGAAATAGAATATTCAAAACGAGAAAGAGAACGTGTATAGTGTGTGTGTTAGAAACGCTTGTGTCTTTCTGTGACTTTCTTCTACACATCGCGATTCAATAGAAAGCAATTATACCTTGCGACAGAGGGCAACGCGTATTGTACCGTTATGATCTCACAGAGACGTGCAAGACGTCTTTTTTCCCTTTCCGGACGTCGATCGCTCTCGGTATCGCCGAGGTATCGATATGTTATACCCGGGTTCTCTTTTATCCGTTCGAGTCCAAAGACTCGGCGAGAGAGAGAGAGAGAGAAAAGCCGCTTTCAACACCGCGCCGCCTTCGTAATGGCTTAATAACCCTCTCTTTTCTGCGACGCCGGGCGTTGCGCGGCAAAAAAAGAAACGAAACGCGCGGAGATGAAGGAAGAGAGGGGCGAAGAGAAGAAATTCCTCACAGTTGAGATCGCGGCTCGCCGCGCTACTCACTGTTTGCGGCTATTTGTTGGACGTGCGTTATCCGTGCGCGGCATCTCTCTTTCTTCTTCGTTGTGCCGGCAGCGGGGCAGGCACATCGATATCGACCGCGGAATGTAACACGCGGCTCCGAAACAACATGGCCGGCGGGTGGATCTCCATAACGAGCGCGGTGACTTGCACATCCGACCCAGAACGCATTAGCCGTATTTGCATTTAATTGCCGGTTGTTTGTTTGACGTCCGCGCAACCGGCGGAATTAGGAATACTCGGCGGGGGAGGGAAGGGGGAGAGAGAGAGAGAGAGAGAGAGAGGAGGAGGAAAGAGAGGACGCGCGAGGGGTATGGGTGAACTGCAGGGTGCAGAGTCCTGCGTTTTGCGATCCGCGATTTGTCGCGAGTTATTTTTTTGCAAAAAGAAAAAAGTATACAATCGAAAAGGATTTGTTTGAGACTTAATGAGATACAAAAAAGAATCGAAATCGAATCTTATTATATATATATATATATCGGAAAAAATATCCTGTCGCGGGAACGCGCGTCGGGAAGATGCCACGATATAATAATCTGCTATTATTTCGAAGCACCTCGAAAGAGTCGTCGAGTCGTCGAGAGAATAATGGAAAGCGACGCGAGTTATTAAGTCGCGTTTTCCGCGTATTATCAACCGATAGCCTTCGCCTTCTCTCCTCCCAGAGGCGCCCGGGGATCGCTTGCGATTACAGGGGACGCACGTAGCTCGTCGGACGTATAACGGTGGATCAGGTATATAGAATCCTAACTGAATCTCTTCTCTCGGAGGATCTCTTCCGCGTCTCTCGCTCGCCTCCCTCCTAGTTGTCGACCTACACTCAGTGAGTGCCTCTCCTTCCTTCGCGCCTCTCTCTTCTACCCTACGTCGAACTATCTTCTGCTCCCCTTCTATGTCTCTCTCTCTCTCTCTCTCTTGCTCTCTCTCTTCATCTTCTTCTCCCTATTCGTCTTCTTCCCTCCGGTCCCCCCTTCTTGTCTGTCTCTTCAGTCCGTCTCCCACTTCCGGCGGCCCCACCCGTCGTCCCTTCGGGCAACCAATCCCGAGTAAAGTTTGTTACACAACTCGGCGAACTTTCGAAAATGGTCTGCCTCCGCCAAGTAAGCTGTTCTTGGCTCCCTCGTTAGCTAGACTTTCCTCTTTGGTGCCGGTGCTCTCACCGCCGTCAGAGAAACCGCGGCGGATGCGACGCGCGCCTCACCGCTCTCTCCTCTTATCACGCACCCGCCCGCGCGCTCTCTCTCTCTCTCTCTATCTTTTTGTAGCGCAATTCCCCTGCAAAATAGCGTCTTCGTCTTCGACAGTGTCGAGTTCTCTGTATGTTCAGACGACGAAAAAAAATGTCTATGACATTATCTTTTTGCGACAATCTAAACGCCGATAAATATCCTTATATATATTAATAATTTATAGAGAGGAAAATTTAAGTTTCTTTATATCTTTCTTGAAAGAAACTTACCTTTTTTTCCGCATTAGAAGTCTATCAAAAAAATTCGTTATTTTTTTCGCAAGAATTACGCGTAGTGTCTCAAATGCAATTTTTTCCGAAAAAATCGTTGCGCGTGCAATGTGGTCCCGCGATAAACCGACATGCGTAATCTGTTCCTATGCGCGACGCATATATTCTCTAAACTTAAACACACGCAATCTGACGGGCGCGATTAAATTGGCGCAATCATCAGAACAACCAACGTGTCGGCGCGGCACCGTCACAAGACGGTGTCGAAGGCACAACCGGCTTTATTTTATCGAGATCGCCGGCTTACTTAGGCAGTTCCTCGAGCAACGCATTCATTAACGCAAATATCCGTCGGATGCATTAAGCCCGCGCTTGTCGTAACGCGCTCGTCGTATATCGCGGAAATTGCGCGTCGACGCGAATGCAAATTGCTCGATGTTCGCGCGCGTCCCGAGAACGCGCCCCTCGCGAGTTTATCATCCCTCATTTCTCGATTAAATCTCTCCCGATCTCTTGCGCCGATATCTTTTGATATTTTTTTTTAATGTCAAAGAAATAAAACCGCGCACAGTTTTTGAGATCTTTTCTCATTCCTTCTGTGTTGTATTATTTGTAAAAAAAACGAATAAAATGACATGTTAATATAAACCATTTAAAAAAAAAAAAAAAGAGACTTACGTGTTGCATAATTCAATTATTTTGTCGTTTACCTTTGAAAACATCGACGGTTGGCACACGTTGTGATAAAAATGCAAAAATACGTTGACTCGCAACATATCTAACTGGGACGTAACTCTTATACATGTGGACGCACGTTATCTCTGTGAATGTCGCATTTCAAAATTTGCAACAAATGTACATACGTATGTAAATGTTGGATAAATTTCTGTTTTTCGATTTCCATGCAAATACGAAATAGCTTTTTAGAGATATTTTATACATGATATTTTACAATATGATCAAATGTGAAAACCATTGTGTCCGAAAGCCTTTCGTATCTGCTTTAAAAGCAAATAGCGATAAAGTAAAATCACAAAGTTCCGCGCGTAATTACACAATTTCACTAAAATAAAATTGCTCAATATTAATTCTAGTAATTTTACAAAGTGAATAAAACAATAATATTGTTCGACGCATACGCACTCGCGCATTTAAAATCTGCGCATCTGGAATTATCTCTAAGAAAAAGTATTCTTATGTTTTTCGTGCGAAACGCAAAGATACAATCCGTTATTTTTTTCATTAACACGCATACGTGCGTACTCCGTAAACTGTTCAATTTCTCTCTTAGTGTATAAAATAGAAATTTTTTACACACTAACTCATGGATAAGATATGAAAAGCGATGAGATTGCAATCGAAAACATTTCCGAAGTAAAAACTGTCATTTTATCTTCGCCGCGGAAAGGTACAAAGAAACATCTATCATTTCTAGAAATGTTATCAAATTTTTTTCATATCTTTCTTTGTCCACGAAATACATTGCATTTAATAAAATATGTTTGAAAGTAAAGTATGGTGCACGACAAAAAATACAGATATGTTGCAATTCGTCGAATGTACTGTTGATAGTACGATCTATAACCTATTGCTACACACACGTGACATTTGACGCTTGTAAAATAAATATACGCTTTAGAATTAAAGAGAGAAAACAAAATGCATCACACACCGTTACAAAAATTCGATATTACAATGTGTGATATAAAATACATATTAAAATATTATTTACGTTTGTGAAAGATGATTTAACGTAATAATGTGCACGTGTGTGTATGTTTTACAATATAATAAATAAAATATAATTATTCCTAAATAAACATTAATAATAATATAACAATAATATAATAATATTATTATTATTATTTTGAAATAAACTTTACTAAGAAATTAGTGGAAACATTAATTAGAACTCGAAAGTGGAAAATAATTTAAAGACTCGAGTCACAACCTCAAAATTAAAAGAATTGCAATTGCGTTTCTCCTAATATCACTTCGATTTAACCTCGTGATCTTGAATTAACCGGCAATTAACACCAATTGGGACAGGACAGGTAATTAACGCTGTGTCCGAGGGAGCTCAAGCGTCCGGTTCCAGCAACTCCAGCGACAGTTCGCCCTCCGATCTCAGGAGACGACTTCAGGACTTACCGTCGCCGGACGAGTTCGATCTTGTTGCCGATCGTGTGGCCGCGCTCGGTCGACGTATCTGCCGTAAACGCGAGCTTTTCTTACGTCTGCAGGGAGTGGCGGGCCGAATCGAGGAGAAGGACGAGTGGGAAGAGAGGGAATCGACGACAGGATCCGGGAGCTCCTTGACCAGACTGAAAGACGCGCGAGCCCGAAGAAGGGCGCGAGCTCGCTTTTCGGAAAGTTCGTTCGACAACAAAGCGATGGTGATTTCGCAAGCTGGCAAATCGAGTGCCAGCGAGTTTTCTGCCGATCGATCGACACGCGATAACGATTATTTGCACTTGCCCGCGATCGAAATGTCCCGAAGACAATACCGATCCTCTTCCGTGTCCGAACCGTGCTCAACGCGTTTGTCCCATCAGAACAGAGACGAACCGAACGAAATTAGAATCAACAGATATCGGAACTTCACGTCCCGCGATCACGACGAGTCGAAATCGGCCGATCTTCCGTCGGTCTCGTCGTTTTCCATCAGCAAAATTCGACCGAAAAAATTCGGAGGATATCGCCCGTCGTCCGGTGTCGTCGTGAAGAACCTGAGCTCCGAGAGCTCCGAATCGGAATCGGCCGCCAACGAAACCAATCCCGTCCGAAACATTGACGATGCGACCTTGGAACTATCCTCGCCGGAATCTAAAGTCGTTAACGGACCCGTGAAGAAGATGCCTATTATGTCCGCGAGAAGCGACATCACGGAGTCGATACTGCCGAGTCTTTTGCCGTCGGCACGATCGTATCACGATCGTCCGGTTTTTCAAGACGCTCCGCGAAACTGCGCCGCCGAGCGAATAAGCGACGTAAGGAAAAAGCCGTCACGAGACGTGTTGTTATTCTCCGCGAGAAATTTCACGTCGGATTCGGAGGAACTAGTGACGAGCGCTCGCGACGAAAAAATGCGAATCAAAGACAACGTTAGACGAGCCATATCGGAGTTGGAAGACAAACTCAGAGCCTATGACGAGGGACTCGAGAGTTGTCGCATTTTCGCACCGCGAGCGCACGACAATCAAGATCTTAATCCTTCGACAAATCGGTCCGATCTCGAAGGCGATTATTCCGAAAATATTGACGACGATGTTCGCGATGACACTGAGAAACGGAATCAATCGAAGAATACTTACGCAAAAAAAGTCGAGAACACGCCGCGTTTATTCGAAGAGAAAATTAAAAACGACGCTACGGAAGACGCGTTGTCTCAAGCCTCGGATGCGATTCAGAGCGAGAATCGCAGTCAATCGTCGTGCGCGGCGAAATATTTGCAGAAACCCACGTCGAGCGGAAGATCCAAGAACGGCGGCGCCGATTTACACGGCAGATGCGATCAGGAGATTAATCGCGTGATAAACGTTCCCACGCTCGCGTTAGACTCGCAAGATATTTCGTACTCGACGTCGGCAGGCAGCCGAGAATGTTCCGTTACCCAATCTCTCGACCCTCGCGCGCTGATCAAAGCCTTATCAACCGTATCTCTAAAACAAGAGGAAAACGTTTCGAGGAAACTCGAGCGCTTTTCTCGCAACGATAAGATCGATACGTCGGACTTTTCCACGAAAGGAGAAACGTGGCGCGTACCGAGATCATCGAGTACCGAGTTATCCGCCAAATCGTTGTCGCGCGCTCCTTCCAGGATACCCGTCAGGATCTCGAGCAGCAAGCTCGCCTTATCGGCCAGTGGCGCGAGCAAACCATCGGGATTTTTTAAACAACCGGAGAATTCGAACGCGGTCGCGAGCGACGAGAAAGCGAAATTCACCGATCGGAATGGAATTCAGAAGAAACGTGTCGTCGCTCGTCAGCGATCGGAAGTGGAGTTGCTTTATTGTCAGACTCGCGAACGGGATTCCTCGTTGGAATCCAATGCGAATGAGAACGTTGAGGCGAGCGACGAAGAGATGGAATACGAAGCCAACGGTTACAAGCCGAGAGGCTTTTCGACCGTTTCGAATCGGCGAAGTGTCACGTACGATGACTGCGTCACTTACGAGAAGACGCAACGTTCGTCGGAGACCGAATTCGGAGCGGATAGCAAAACAAGTTGCCCGCCTGTGTTTTTTACCAAACCGACGTATTCTGATAATCGTCATCAAGATTGCGCGAAGATCGATGCGCGATCGAATCGGAGCACGTCCCGGGAAAGTGCGATAACCGCAAACGTCACGAGCGCCACCGAATCGCCGTGTTTGTCGAGATACAAGAAGAACGAATCGCGTTATGTCGAATCGTCGAGAAATATAGAAGAAAATTTTACGTGGCGAACGGAAGACGAATGTGCGTCGATAAGGGACGAGGAAAATCCCGAAAATGTGGAGTATGAAGTTCATGCTCGCGAATCGTGCGACGAGTCGACGGAAGAGCCACATTCAACGAAGAGAGATCGCTTCGAAGTATCGATGAAAGGATTATCCAATTTACATCAATCGGGAATCGAGAAAGTTGCCAAGAGGCAACGAATCGGCGACGATCTTCGTGAATTTAACGAGAACAGATCGAACCGCGATCCGAGCACCTCGGAATCCACCAAGGTCGCGCAGTCGGAGGATCTGGCGTCTCAGGTGCACAAAACGCAGGAGATCTGTAGCTTGATCGCGAATATGTCCTCGTCGTCGTTGAATTACGAGCAGAAAAGAAGGAAGAAGAGCCAGGAACGTTTTCCCTTCACGATTTCAGAGGCGTCGGGAATGTTCTCGACGGAACGTAAAAACATGTGCGATTGTCGCGAATCGCTCGATAAGAAGAACCGTCCCGCGGACGCGCGACACGAAGAGAAAACCGCGCACCGGCTGACGACGCATCCTAGCATAACGAGATTGGCCGTTTCGGGCTTGCCGGAAACAATGGGAGAAATTCTGAGCTGCGCCATGCGGCAAGAGAAAGAAACAACGTCTTCCAAGTCCAAATTACGAGCGATCATGCGAATATTTTCCTCAAAATCCAAGAAGAAGACGAAACAATCAAACAATAGCAAATCATTATTGGAAGCGACCGAGATCATTTACAAAAATCGCGCCTGTCAAGCGGATTCCAGAGCTAACAGTTGCTCGGGTGATTCGATCACTCACGGAACGAACTCGATGAATGACGACGAGCCCGGCAATAATCGTCGGATCGACTGTAACGTAACGAGATATCAGATTACTCGATCGAATCCCGCACTGGTCTCTTCAGGAAACGCTTTGAGAAAGACGGAGAGCCTCGAAGCAATTGATCGGGAACATCCCCGCAGACGATACGATCGGGATGATCTGTGGGTTCGGGATCCTTCATCCGAGGAGAAGATTAATGAAACGCGAGAAAACGACAAGAACAACACGAGAGAAAGTTCGGATGATCGCTACTCAATTTTTTTTGCGAAAAATCTCGAATCCGATAGACTATCGGAATCGAACAATTCTCCGAAAGACGAACGCGACGTAATAACGTCCGGTCGCGCGCTGCTGTCGGACAAGAAGAGCAAACAGATTCCATCGAATTGTGTCTCCGATGAAGAGGATGAAGACGTGACCGGTTGTTTCTGTTTAAAACTATGTCGCCTTTTCGCTTCTTCGTCCAAGAATCGATCATCGGTCAAAGAACAAATACCTTTATCTTCGAGAGCTGAAAATTCGGTTTCCCTGCTGCTGAAAAGAAAGAAATAATGTTTTGTCATTTCATAGAAGATAATTTTCATAGAAATATCGACAATTGATACTTCACCACGTTACATCGGATGGCAATATCATCTTCATTATCGACCGAGAAGAAGTATTTACTATCGATACAACAAGTTTTTCTCGTTTCCGCATAAAGTAATTTCTGCTATTTTTTTATACTAGACCGCAAGTTCGGTAATTTTTTTCAGTTTTGTACATAGAAATAATGAAATAATTAGATATCGACTTGTAACTAGATTGTGTTTAAAAGAATAATTGTGCTACGTGTGTATAAGATAAAAAAATAAAATAAAATGGTTCATTAATCAATTAAAATTATTTCAAAAACAAATAGAATTGCGCACACAGGGAGAATTAGATTGTTGAAAATAATCAGGATATATTTCCAAGGATAATCGAATCTCAAGTCCCACAGCACATACTCCGAAGCACGTTTTCGATTCATGTTCTTGTTTATTTGCCGTTCGTACATAATTTTTCATTTGTTCTTCAATAATAATATTGATGTTTCACACTTACTTCCGTACGTCATAAGTCATACATGAGTAAGAGTCTTCGCCGAAGATGCGCAATTATCGCAGTGTTTATCGCCTTAATAAAACGTTTTTCTTCGCTACGCATTAACTTATTATTAGTATTTTATCGTTTATCGTTATAGAAAAAATAAGTCTTTAAATAATCACATAAGAGTCGTCGAGAGCCTTTTTTTTTTCGTGGACGATAAAGGATCGGAGAGTGGAAAGGATAACAAGGATCGGGGAAGGATAGACACACGCCTTTGTACGTGTGTCTTTGTATGTGTTTACATTTATGAATACGTGTATTGCATAAACGTGTGTGTGGTGTGTCAAACGTATTATGCGCATGTTTGCGCGTGTGCATACGTTAGTTATAATATACGTGGAGATGTATGTACGACGAAAGATTTGGAAAAGGAAGAGAAGGAAAAGGACAAGGCTATCGCTTGAGAAGTAACGTTGTCGGCCCTATACGGTACTTGCTTTTTTTTTCTTCATCAACTCTCTCTCGAAACAACGATGTCGCGCGCGCGCGCGCTAAGCCTAGAAAAAGTTCTATCTACCGAGAAGACCAGTCGTTTTTCGCGTTTTTATTTTTTTTTAAGGACTACACATGAGGAAAACGCGAGATCCGCGTCATTCCGCTACCGCGCGAGAAAAGGGCATTTTAATCGATCCGAACAGGGAAAACGGGACAGCAAAAGGGGGAAGGAGCGGTCGACGCCCGCTAAGTAAGAGAGTAAAGTAAGAAAATCGACGCTAAAGGCAAATGCGTTTCCGCGATCCACACCTCGAGCGCTCTCTCTCTCTCTCTCTCTCTCTCATCCCTATCTCCTTTTCTCTTCATCTCGCACTTCTCTACTTGTTCTTTCCGCCGTTGTCGTCATCGAGAAAGGTAGGGAAGCTTCGCCCGCCAGCACACTCCTCGCATATGCAATCGCGCATCTCCACGTACTCGTGCGCCGCATGCGTGCTACGTACATTGACACGGATACGCATGCGCGCCTCGCGTCAATCATACACGCATCACACAGCTGTGTGTCTCAGTCTTTCTTTCGTCTTATCTGCGCATCCTAGTAGCGTAAGCAACTTATTGGGCGTCATGCATATCTGCTTAAATATGCTGACCGAACAATCGGATGTGACTTTACTATAAAAATCTTATCGAATAAAGTTTCACATTGAGAGACTACAATCTTATAAAAAGACAGAAAGAAAGACAATCTAAACGAAAAAAAAAAATTCCTTTTCTTTTTTTTCAAAAAAAAAACTACATATTTAACAGAAGAAAGATATGTGGACACACACACACACACACACACACAGCGCACAGCGCGAGAAAGAACGCGCTTGATTAATTTATTATACGCGACGCAATTAGATATATCTGTAGCCGATTATTCTAACTCACGTCTCAAAGGTCGACGTCGCGATTGATTAAAGCGCGATAGCGAACAAATTACGTTTCAAACGAGATCGTACGATTTGGCAACAATGAGCAATCGCGAAATACATAAGTGCGATAAGCGGACGAATCTTCGCTTTCTCAGAGGCGCTCGAGACGCAAATCTGGCGATCTCTTTTGCTTCTTCCGCTTTCGTGTTTCTTCGCTTCGAGATTCGCAAGGAACGTTTCGTTCAGTTCTCCTTCGTTCTCTTCGCGTCCTCATCGACGTCGTCGTCGCCATCGTCGTCGTCGTCATCATCATCATCGAAGCTCGCACTACCAGGACGGGACTTCTTGTCGGAGAAACGACGTCACAAAGGGGGTGGAATAGAGAATTCTCTCCGCACGTAGAAGAGGATGTAAGGCTTACACTTAGCGACAGCGTCGGTAGTTGCTGGCCGAACGGAGCTGTCGTTAAAGTGGAACCACTGGCCGTCATGCACGGCGAAGGCAGTGTAATGTCCAGTACCGGCACTGCAACACATAGTTAGCAATTGTGCCCTATCACAAGAAAAACAATTTCCCTTCGTTATAAAAACTATATATATACGCACATATTTTGTAAGCAAATCTAAAATGTTCAACAAATACATAAAAATTACTCGGTCGAGCTAAAACGTTTTATTCAAAAAAGTTTTAATCTTTTTCAAAATGAAGAACAGATAAATGCGAAATACACGTTCGTCAAAAGATATTTTTAAACGCAGATTGTAGACAAGGAAGCAATGATTATCTTTATCTTATCGCGTACATAATATTGAAAAGATAAATATCGTGCGATAATTGCTACAATAAAACCTTCGAAATCTCTTTAACGAGAAACATTGTTTTGGGAGAGCGTACCCGGAACCATGGTGCACGATAACGGCAGCCAAGTCATAAAGGTGACTATTCTGAGCGCCCAATCTCGTCCCGGTCACGCCGCGCACAGTGAACGCGGACATGTCGAGGGACTCCATCGGGAAATCCACCTGCGTGTCCACCTTCGAGCGATAGGAATTGCACCACCTAAATCTTTTAATGTGAAGGCACAACACCTGGAAAGAGCGAGCACACGCATATGAGCATCGATTATGCCGCCGTTTCCACGTCAAATGTTTCTCTACTTGATCAAAGTTCTCTATTCGGGTCACGTTCTGTTCGTGCAAACTACATTGCATGCCGGTGAATGCATTTCATTCGGTGAAATTAGAACGTCAAAAAATCGATATATATATACATATGTAAAGGAAATGCAGGGACGTAAAATAGAACATAAGGTCTAATTTTCTTCATAAGAATGTGCTCGTGTTTCTTCAATGTTTCAAAAGTCGAAATTTCTTAAAAATAAACTTCAAATCGTTTTGTGAATCTCAAGACTTACGTTAGGCAGTCTGTGTATCCAGAACCTCTTGGTGGACCTCTGCTTGCCCATGCAATTATCGCAGAAATAGAGCTCGCTATCGGCCAACTCCTCGACCTTGAAGAATCGCGTCAGACTGTAAATCAGACTGCATACTTCCTCCTGTTCCTTCGCTCTGGTTCGCTGCAACCTGTCCGGTATATCTAGCGAGAGATCCTGGAAAGGCTCGTGCGTCTTCGAGTCCGTACGGCAGTTCATGCAGTGGACCTGCGCGAGGAAACGCGATCCATAATTCGTCCGCGCTTCTCCCAAGAAGAAAACGAAGAAGACACTTTGACTTTCGCAAGCTACACCAGTCTCTCGAGAGAGCGCAGAAGAAACTTTTCCTCTCGTTGAAGAGGCGTTATTATACGAACGTTTGTTTCGTGCGCAATCGAGATACCGTCCGTCTAAAATCGGACCGTCTTTAAGACTCTTAAACTTACCACGCTAAGTAGAGTGCCCCCAAACACGGCGGTGACGATGCTCTGCTTGCCGCGCAATCCCAACGGTTCGTGTCCCAATCTGGGCAACAGTTGCAGCAACTCGGTGTGCAACCGGTCGAGCATGTAGGTGAGGAACTCGTGGGCGTCCTGCTGCTGATAGCCCCGAAATCTCGGCACGACCTTCCAGATGGCCAGAAACAGGCACTCGGGCGAGATCGCCTGACCGTTAGAACCGCCCAGACTCAGACCGAGCAGCACCTTGCGGAGCTCCTCGGCGAGCAGGGCGTCGCTCATGGACATCTCCTTCGCGCGACCCGGCGTAACGATGCGACCGCGATGCGTGGGCGGCCCGGTGGACTCGTCAAAGGCGATGCCCTCAAGACACGGCATCTGTGTGAGGTACTCGCAGAAATGGCTGATGTTGTTGAAGGACTGCAGCACTACGTTCATGAAACAGGTGTTACCGAGGTTCCTCAGGCCGACGACCTTTTTCTCTTTGGTACTCTTGGAACTGCGCCTCTTGGCCGGCCGATTGTCCGCGCTGCTTGCGTCGAGCGAGTGTAACCTTTTGCGCGACGTTCTCGGCCTCAGATTTCTCACGACCACCTCCGCTTTCCACAGAGCGTCCGGGTCTTCGCTGTGATCGTCGCCGCCACCGCCGCCGCCGTCGCTGTCGCGTCTTCTCGAGGACGGCGGCGACGTGGACGGCGACGTGCTCCAGCTCTCGTCATTCTCCTTGTGTTCCTCCTTGCGAAAAGTCACGCGGCGTATCTTCTCGATCTGACCACTCGTGGTGTCGTTCACCACGTACTCATCGCAAGTATAACTGAAACAATCGAATGTAAAATACGATATAGCTTTTCCACAGCAGAGATACACACTTGAAAGAGCTTCTTTTAATTACAACGTTTATTTATCAGTTGATCGACAAGACAGAATAAGTATCGCGTTAAAAATTGAATTTTGTAATGATTTCTCTCGCAAGAGTTTCGCGCGAATGAAAGCATGCAAGGTGAAATACGACGGAGGGAGGGCAGAAACTCACCAGAATACCGCCAGACTCTCGCAGTCTATGCACACGCAATGCTGAGTGTTGGTCTCGTAGTGCTGCAATGCGTGGCCCGCTACATATCGTCCGCAATACACGGCACCGCAGTGCAGACACAGCCAGGGACTCTTCTCAGTTCCACACACTGCGTATAAGGAAAAGACAATTACATGTAAATGATAATGAACAGAACAAGCACACACACTATAAAAATATATTCAAAAATATTAGTACCCATTATTGCGGTACGTTTGTGTGCGCGCGTATAATTACATATTTTTGTAAAAACAAATTTTTTTCTATATACAGCAAGTTGCGCGTGTCATGTGCGCTTCTCTTTAATCATCGCGTTTACATATATATATATATATATATATATATATATATATATATATACGTAAACAAAGAGGAAAGAATCTCGATCGACAACCATCCAGTCGCAGAGTGAAATATATCTGGTGGTTGCGAAATTGCCACTCGGCACCGCCGTGTCGTTTCGGCTCGTCTCAACTTACGTAATTCTCGAGAGAGCGCGTAAAAGCGGGGGGTGCGGTGGCGAGTGGGGGTTCGACACACCCCCTTCGCACCCGATCGATCGCGAAATGTCTCGGAATTCCATCGGACTTTGGATTCTTCTGGCGTTTCGCGCTTTCTTCGGATTATTTAAATCTTTTATGGAAAACATATTGAGGAAGTGTGTGTGTGTGTGTGTGTGTGTGTGAGAGAGAGAGAGAGAGAGAGAGAGAGAAGCGACAGAAAACGCGTCATGGAATTTACCCGCGATACTCGCTAAAACTAGGAGTGCGCATTCTGATGTTCATTGCCAGCGAACGATGCGAGATTCGTTCTAATATGCTGCAGTAAGCTTCCGACGAGCTCGTGAGAGCATGTAACGTCATAGATTTGTCGTCACTTCCTGCTTTCGTTACTGCCGTTTGCTAGAGGTAAGACATTCGCGCTAGAAAAACAGCAGCATTCGTCGAATATAATGTGAAAGATACGTTTAATTTGTACATGTATAAACGCAGAAATTAGCGAAAAGATTTATATATAAATTTGTCTTATTTGTATAATTTATATAAATATAATTTATATAATCTATTAAACAAATGCGCGCGTACTTTTGCTTGATATGTGCAATTTATTCGCATTTCCTATAAATGCTCTTCATTTTACATATTTTATGTATATTTTTTTGCACATAATAAGATATAAAATTTATATTTTACATTGTTCACTCGCTGCGAACGATAATGAATTTCGAATTTATCATCTGTACATGCGGAAAAAAAATTGATTCCACGTAAGTTTTGCAGCGCGCTCGATGATATTAAACAATGTTTTTTTTTAAACTTCCGATAAAAATGTTAGAAACAATTACGAAACGATCACGAAACAATTACGAAACGCTAGAACTGCTTCATGACGTCAAGTTCTCAGCAGTAAATATCGAAATGCAACCTAGATCAAACGCGAGTTTATTTTTGATATGATTCTCTTTTGCGGATACATGAGATATTAGAATTAGTCACGAACGCGGACTGATTCAGAACATCGGGAAGGCGTTGCCGCTGCTTTACATATGCAAAACATATGCAGAAGACGAATTCGCGAATTTGCGTCTAGAACGCCACACATAAATCTCCTTCTCTCTTTTATTCAAATTTTTCCTAAACGCGAGTGTCGGACGTGCGTTCTCTCGCGAACAGTGGCGTAATCTTATACAGCGTGGAACGAGAGAAGGAGACACTCTTGCGCGAAGAGAACGGGACGTTAAAAAACGCGAGTGCGTGAAAAGTGAAACGACAACGCCGAAAGTACGGGCGCGCGAAGAAGAAATCTGATCTCGCCGAAGGTCGTTTCTATCTGGAGGAGTCGTATTCGTTTTCAGTGTGTGCCGATGAAGCTTTAGAACACACCGAATGCCTCCATCGGCACGTTTTAATCAGCGACGCGTTGCGCTATGAGAACTCGCCTCGTGGACAAAGAATAAGGGGGAGCGAAACCGAGTGGGTTCGGTTGACGATAAAATCTTGCAAGGATAATATTCCTCGAATACATTGCTCATGTATGAACGGTAGAGACTTTCTTCTTCTGCGAATATATTTCAACATCGGTCAAAAGACGAAAAAAAAAAAAAAAAAAATATTGAGCACTAAAAGTACAACAAAATAAAAAATGAATTAAGAAAGTTTTCTATCAGAAAGAGCCAAAAGCAATTTTCGTAAAAATTAATTAATTGCAGATTCAAGACTCGAGTGATTTATTTTGTTCACTTTGAAAATTGCGACTTCAGAATTCTTCGTCGGAATAACAAAAAAAAAAGACGTCATTTTAGCATTATTACCGCTGATGTTTGCAAGAAAAATAAGTTGTCGTTGACGACACAACGTGTGTGTGCGGCTATGAAATATTATCTGCGAACACTTGACAAACGTTCGATACATCTATCCACATTGCCGTCGTCTCGTGACGATAACGAGCCGAATAACAAGACGACACACGTTTGTTGGCCGAAAAATGCATAAACTTTTTAACAACCGACCGTGTTGTACGCGACACGGTTCGTTCAGCGCAATCGTTCATTCATTCAATGTTCGTCTGGCTCAATGGAACGATCCGTGCGAATCGTCGTCGGAGTGATAGTCATTGCGAATGTAACGTTTGTCACGACGTGACGACGTATAAGGGGGAAATAATTATGAAACAATGTTATTGTTCGTTCGGAGATCGACCGGAGTTTAATAAGATTTTTATTTCGAGATTGTTAGACGAAGATGATTTAACGTTGAGTATCAAACAGGAACACATAACAACGAGATAATAGACTTTTTCCATGGAATGTTTCGAAAAATATCGATATGTACTGAATTCGAGATAAGACAATCTTTGAAAAATTTGTAAGATTTTAAAGTCGTACTTAGAGAGATACAAAAGTCAACTAATTACAAAACACATTTCCATGAAGAGGAAGAATAAATAAATTAAGTATTTCGTCACTATTACGTGATGCAAACCAAGCTTCGTCTTAAATTTTAAAATTAAATTAAATTCAAATTATTCTGTGTATTAATCTTTTACGTTTAAGATAAATAAAAAATATATTTCGCGCGAACACTTAGGACACATTGGGTCGCACGACCGAATTAATTAATCCTCGCTTGTTTGAAACGAGGTAAAATTTGTTGTTAAATTTGCAAATACAAAGGCTCTTGCATATTTTTTAATAATGAAAAAACCTTAAAAAATTTAAATATGTATCGACCAGTCGATTTTAAATAAAAAAACGCTACTTCTAAACGAGGTGAAATATGAAGCGGTGACCATGGAAACGAGCGGTAAACGAGGACGTAATACGCGTCGTAAGCGCATAACTCGCGCGGTTTTGTAAAAACCGGTAATCGTCGGTCGCGGTAAAACTTCGACGACGATTACTCGGCTCGAGCGAGGTTGCATCACCCTGCGAAATTAAACAAGCGAGAATCGAACGTCGGCGACGATGAAAATCAGAAATCGGGTGTAGTCGATTATCGAGGTTACCATCGACAGAGAGCCACGAAACTCTGACGAGAAGGAGGAAGTGCTCGGTGTATATTCAAAGAACCGACTGTGCAGCTTTCTCCCTCTTCATCGCGCTCCGATCTCGCGACGTTCGATTCCGCCACGCCTACGAGACACAACGACGTCGTCCTCGTTGTTGTCGTTCCGAGGATCGACGTAGTCGCCGTTGCCTCTTTTCTCTTCGTCGTAGCGTTAACTTTGTCGACAGCAGCGTGACATTGTTCGATCGGATGACACATTTCAATGTTTTCCTCACATATCTTTACAAATCTCGTTACGTTCTCATCTAAAGACCGCAAACAATTTCTGACGCACCTATGCCATTTGCTTCTCGGTATGGCAGGTTTATCGATACTTCGCTAATGCTTACGATATGTGAAAAAAAAAAAAGACACTGTCAATGCCAAAGCGCTCGATACCGGTAAGGAAAAGTATATCCGAGACTTTGTTTCAAAGAGAGAACAAAATCTTCCGCAACGCGAACTATCCGATTAGCAACGACGCGGTTATCGATTTTGCAACGTCATGTAGTCAGGCAAGAAAGCAGCCTTTGCTAGCACTAGCATCAGCATCAGCAGCAGCGGCATCAGCTGCTGCTGCTGCTGCAGCAGTGGAAGTAGTAGGAAAAGCGGCGGCGAAAGAGGGGCGGCGGCGGTGGCGGCGGCTCGGACGAGGGTCCTTTTATAGTGCGTAAGGGGCGATACTTTTTTCCTCCGTCTTCCTTTCTCTTTCTCCCTCTCCTTCTCCCTCTCCCTCCCTCTCTCTCTTTCTCTCTCTTCCTCTCCTTTCCTCAGGGGAACGCACATAGCGACTGCTACTCCTGCGGCGCGATTCCGCCGAGGCATTTAAATCGATCCGTCGCCGGATACGTCGCGATTCGCCGAGCGTGAACCGCTCTCTCGCCTAGTCTATCGCGACGCTAATCGTGACGACACGTTCTCGTGTGACCGGCGATAATACGACGAGGAAACACCGAAGAAGTCTCGGTATTTTTATTCATCGAAGTATCGCCCACGTGCATGACGACACTAACAAAGCTTGTTGTTGAAAGAAGTCGATATACACATTAAGTGATACCAACACGTATAGCGTTGCGATTAAATATCGCTAGAGATGTCGATATGATATCGAAGAAACACTCAGATTAGTTGGAAAACTTAATTAAAAAAACACAAAGAACGTATAAAACAGCGAACTCTCAACAACTTAAAAATAAAAGACGATATTGAACAAGATATTGATCTCGACTAAATAAAAAATATTTAGAAAATTATATTAATAATATTTTTTAAAATAATATATATTCTTTATTAATATATATTTTTTAAATATTTTTCAAAAAACTGAACTATATAATACTTAGGAAAAAATTCTCTCTCTCTCTCTCTCTCTCTCTCTCTCTTTCTCTCTCTCTCTTTGTGTGTGTGTGTGTGTGTGTGTGTGTGTGTGTGTGTGTGTGTGTGTGTGTGTGTGTGTGTGTGTGTGTGTGTGTGTGTGTGTGTGTAACAAGTTTTTCTCTGTTTAACATTTGCTCAAGCCCACGTATTAATCAAACGTGAGATTTCAAAAAGAGAAACTGATTTATCGATCAAAAGCGTACGGTATGTCTTTGGAGAACATATTTGCGTATCGATGACCAGTATCGAGGCAAATGCTCGTGACAGGTTGCCGAAGGCTTCGCAAATTTCGACGACTATCGCCGATAGTATCGTGTTGAGTAATGAAACGTTCGCGGGGAGAGGAAAGTGCGCGTCCGTTGCCGTTGGGGGAGAAAGGGGGGTACTGACTCATCGCCAGTGACGTACTATCTCTTCCTACGACACTGCGCGATGCATTTGTCCGCGTGTGTACGTACGTGTATTGTGTGTTTATTGTTACTTAAGCTTTATCATGTATTCAAACGCTGTTATCTTTTATCTCCCTGTGTCACTCCGTGTTTGGATTTGTCGTGTCGAAATTCGTCAATTCAAACTATTTTTTTTTTTTATTCATTCAACGACATAAACGCGGATCGACAAATAAGCGTATTTTTATACAATAGCGTGGAAACGGAAAACTTCGTGCGCGCGATGATATGTAAAAATAAAATTGTTATTAATATGCAATCAGACACATTTGAGCGTGTGGTTGTTTTCCTCTTGCTTTCTCGTTTCCAGTAGTAATTAATAGATAACGTCATCCTTTTCTTTTAAGGCGCGAGATAAAGGATTCACGCCCGACTAATGCGCATTACGGGCTTATCGTGGACGCACCATCTTGTGAAATCTCTTGGAGCGCTTTTTACGTTTTATCTTTAACAATGGCGGCATTTCCTTTTCTCGCAGTAGGTCTATTTGTCTTATATTCTATACTTTTTTTTTTTTTTGGTTTTAAATTAATCGCAAACTTCTCCGAAAACAGATAATTGCAAAAAAACATTGACAACACGTACACAGTCACACAACGTATTTCTGCAACGGATAAAAACGGAGCGATTTATCACGCATTCGTCGAAGCTTGAAGGTCTGGAGAGAAAGAGAGAGAGAGAGAGAGAGAGAGAGAGA